GATGACCAGTACGCTGACATAATATAATTAGCTCCTCAAGTCGGGGACGCTCATCAGGAAGATGACTCATCCTTGCCCCATAACGTAATCCACAAGAGGGCTGGCCACACAAGCGGGCTGGCCACCTTGCCAAGCATTCCGGTCTATATAGGTTTTTGACCTCAAAAATCAACGTATTTACGCCGTTAAAATCGCGTTTTCTTGGTGTTGATTCCTCGAAGGGCACCTCGTACGTATATGGCCGATTTGATTCCATTCCGAACACCGGGGTGGCGCGCGGCGGCGAGGCTGTTCCTCACCGGTCACCTCCAAGGGCCTCTCAGTCTCGGGTGCCTCACCAGCTTCACGAGCCTGCTGGAAAGCCTCAACTGCCTCACCAACGTCAAGCCGTTGAGACCTGTTATTTAGCGACGACTTCGTTTATTCTTCTTCTCTTGGCGTTCCTTAGTGGCCCGGAGTTGGTGGTTTTCGAACTCAAGCAGAGCAGCTTGGCTTAAGGCTATTTCGGCACCCTTCATAATATATGATATAGCTGTTTTCATGGGAGATGAAGGGCTCCGTGTTCATTCATGAAGTAATTTCTTGACCGTAGTTTCATACTTTCTCAATTGCTTCATGTTTCTGAGAGTTCTTGGCTGTGTTGAAGCTGTACTCGGCCGGCTGATTAGGGTAGCCTCGCGGAGGCAGTGAACCAGTTTCCCAAGCACCTGCTCAGGCTCAAACGGTGCCAGCCCAGCTACTCGAAAGGCATTTTTAAATCGTTAAACTCTTAAAGGCCTCAGTGCGGGCATCTGGATACGTATCAAGAAAATCAATCTTATCAATATGGTGAGTACCCGTCCGAATCAACTTCTCAACCAAACCGCCATACGCCTTTTTAAGAGGCGAGAAACACGCGATATCAAGAGGCTGGCAGAGATGCGAAGAGTGTAGAGGCATGCAGATAGGAACAACACCATTTTAACTACAGATTTCGTTAAATTCTGGTGTCAAGTAGGAGTCATGCCCGTCGAGAATCAAGAGGCTATATCGACCGACTCTTCGAGACTTTGTTAAAGGAATAAAGTGCTCACAAAGCCAGTGTAAACCGATTTCGTTACTGGTCCACCCGTTTAGTGAGAGGTTGATTCTCCATGTACGAGGCACCTTACCTTCATACCAGGCCTCTATATAGACCTTTCCCTTAAGAATTAAGTAAGGAGGCAGGGCCCAGCCTGAGGCATTAATACACTCAATTAATGTTACCCACTCGCGATTTCCAGGCTAGATAAGAAACGGTTTACCCTCGCAATCAGACCTCGTGATTACACACGCGGTAGCTACTAAGCCCATGACAAAGCCAATTTCATCAAAATTGAAGATATCATCATCTGAAACACCGTATTCCGATATAACTTCATAAACTCAGTTAAACCACTTTCCGATAACGGCCGAATCCTCGCAGCGGGCACGTTGGTAATTATATCGACGAGAGAATCAAGTTTTCAAGGAATCGTGCCTTTTGATGAAGTTGTATACCCAGTTCTCACCCACAGTTGTATAGGCAGCCGAGTCACGCTTTTAGATCAAGATATTGGCCATTGTACGGACCTGGGAGAGTCTAGGAGGAAGACCTCGCTTATCCAAGGAAAGAATCCATTTTTCCAAGGCTTCTTCCTCTGCGAGAGTCAATTTACATGATTTGACGCGTATATCACCAATTGCTTTAATTCCTCGAAGACGCGTCTGCAGAGTTGATCTCGGAATATTATAAACTGCCGCAGCTTGACGTATGGATGGAATTTTTCCATTTTTAAAAGCCTCAATTGCCAAGGCAATCCTGCCCTCTTGTTCCACCAAGTTTTTCGTTGATATAGTCATTTTTGGTGGTTTGGTGGGTGGTTGATTGACTTCAGTTTTCGTGGGGTGGAAGGAACGCGAAGTGGTGGCCAGCCCGCTTGTGTGGCCAGCCCGCTTGTGGATTACGTTAAGTTAACTAACTAATAATATCTTTAGGTAGTTAGCTATCGGGCTGCGGTACCATAATCATTCGACAGACACAATCTCTCTAGTCAAAGTGAGC